CCCCCCCCCGGTATATTAAGCTCAAGGATTAAAAGTAGCTTTATAGCTCGTTTTGCTTCCGACATCGAGCTACTATCTAATGGGCAGGAAGCAGAAACACGTGGGTAACCTCAATTTCGAGCAAAAGAAGCGTATCCGCCAATGGCGAGAAGATCATCCTTTGCTGACACAGAATCAATTGGCCGATAAAGCGCAGAAAGAGTTCGCTTTAGCCAAACGCCCAGCACAAGCTAATATTTCGACGATTCTGAAGGAGAGCGAGCGCTATCTTAGCATCCGCGATGAAGCCCGACCAGCCCGCCGCTCGCGGCTTGTACAGTTTCCAGACTTGGATGTAGCCTTAGCTAATTGGGTTCTCCATTGCCAGCACCGTGGTGTCATGCTAGAAAGAAGCATCCTCAAGGCAAAGGGGGCCCGAATTCTCATTAAAATGGGAGTTGAGCCACAGGATCAGATGTAGTTCTCAAATAACTGGTTGCAATCAGTTCAACGACGAAACGGATTCAAAACCTTTAGTGCACACGGGGAAAGTGAATCTGTCAGCACCACTACACTCCCAGAGCTTTTAGATAACATTCGGGTGACCGTGTGTGAATACGCCCTTGCAGACGTCAACAATTTTGATGATACAGGCTTGTTTTACAATCTTTGTCTGGGCAAAACTATTGCTACCCGTCAAATTGAAGACTCCAGAAAAAGTAAAACTAGAATTACAGTCGCGCTGGTGTGCAATGCAGATGGATCCGACATGCGAGAACCACTTTTTATTGGGCATGCGTTCCAACCTCGCTGTTTTAAGAAGAAGAAGACAGCATAGCAATTAGGTTTCTGGTATCGGAACAACTACAAAACGTGGATGACAGCAGCTTTGTTTCGCGAGTGGCTTTGCAGCTTTGAAACAGACATGCTAAACCAGAAGCGAAAGGTAGTTCTGTTGATGGATAATGCATCCTGTCACATAGAGGTAGGTTTGGACCAGGAAAATGTGAAGTTGCTTTTCTTGCCACCTTTATCGCATCTAAGTTGCAGCCGCTCGATGCAGGCATCATTGCGGCATTGAAGCGACGGTATCGACACCGACAACTACAACAGGCGCTTGTCAAAGAAGAAGAAGGTCTAAATCGTGATTTCTACGACGTAGATCAGTTATTAGCAATGCGGTGATTGAAATCGTGCTGGTGCGAGCTGGGTCGTGCCGAGGCCGGTGATTTTGTGTTAAATTGCTTTCGACACACTAAGATCGTGCTCGGGATGACATCAGCCCGTCGCTCTCAACGGGAGGCGGATGAACTTCTGAACGGGATTATTGACAGCTTGAACCGTCTCCGAGTTCGAGATCCGAACACCGACGATTTCGTTTGCAATCCTCCTGAAGAAGATACTGTAATGGAGTCCCTAACAAGAGAAGAGCTGCTAAGTGACTCGACTGATTTGCCGTTTACTGATGCAGCGGGGGATAAACCTGATGATGATGCCAATAATGCGTCCGTTCAGAGTGACACGCCAGAGCAGACCACACAAGAGAAAGTGGATGCAATACGGAGTGTCATTTTCCAGAGCACCCTGAGAGATCTTCGAACGCTACCGCTACGCATACGGGATCAACTCCGCTGTAAACAAGAAGCTAAAACTACCCAGACATCGATAACCAGTTTCTTTCAGGCAACCTGGAGGCTATCAGATCTGCAGAATTGAATATCATTTATAGTATTTAACAGGTATTAGTTTTATTTGATACATTTTACTAACTAACGCGTTGGTGAATTCTCTGGATATTTATATCCAGAGTCTTAGCCGCTTCGGAAACCCTCGGATATCCTGTATCATTTTATATTTGGTTACTTTTGTAATAACTCAATACCTTGAATTCACAAAAGAAGAGCTACAGCGACGAAATACTTAATAGCCTTTTAAGCTATCGTCGCTACTTGACGAGGAACTCATCGCCACGATGTTCGTTGA